TGATAAACATATCTCCTCCGTTATCGGATCCAGTTTTTATCAACTTCGTCTACTGTCTAAAATCAGAGACTTTCTCACTCCCAAAACTGTAGAAATGGCTGTTCATGCGTTTGTTACATCTCGACTAGATTACTGCAATTCCTTATATTGCGGTATATCTAAATCTCAAATTGCGCGCCTTCAGCTAGTCCAAAACGCTGCGGCCAGACTTCTTCTGAAGTGTCGCAAACATGAACACATTACTCCAATTCTCAGATCTCTACACTGGTTGCCGGTTCATCAGAGAATAGACTTCAAAATTCTACTCTTTGTTTTTAAATCGTTACATAACCTAGCTCCTGTCTACCTCTCTGAACTTCTTCATTTATACACTCCATCTAGAAGCCTAAGATCTTGCGACCAGGCTTTGTTGGTAGTTCCACATGTTAGACTGAAGCGTAGAGGGGAGCGTGCATTTGCGGTGGCAGGGCCACGGCTTTGGAATACCCTGCCTTTAGAAATTAGAATGGCCCCTTCTCTGCCTGTCTTTAAGTCCCTGCTAAAAACCTATCTGTTTCCTTAGTGTATTGATTACTGTTATTCGGTAATTTTTTAATGGGTTGTTCATATTTTTTATTTGGCTTGCTTTCTGTGTATGTTTTTATAAATTTCTCTTCTGTAAAGCACTTTGGTCAGCCTAGCGGCTGCTGTACATGTGCTATACAAATAAAATGAACTTGAACTTTATGCCAACCGGTGTTAAATCAGAAGATAAATCAGAGTATTTCAGAGTATTTACACACATGCAGCTGCTATAGTTCAGAAGGGAAGAATAAGTGAACACAGACATGTAAGTATGTTAATTAGGGAGTTCTTTTATGTATCACACATCTAGCTAATATTCATATTTCGTGTCCTAATGTAATCATATCTAGCTGAGATCAATGACAACACAAGCTCACGTGACCATTTACTGTAAATGTTTTTCATGTTAATTAATCTCGTAGCATCATCTAGTTACACAAATACAAGCTCGTACCATCTGCGTCACCTCAGTCCGTTCTTAATTAATCCCCAGGCATTTTAATTAACATCTTAATTAGTGACTCGTTAATGGTATCTAATCTGTGAGAAATAAAAGAATCAGAAACACAGCAGTGAGGAGAAGAGAGTGAAGTTCGGCTTCGTTCGCTGTAGCCCGATCTTCCCAGAGTCTGACGATCAATCAGAAAGAGTCACGAGGATCTAACGTTACGAATGAGCAGCTGAGAAAGAGGCAAACAGGAGACGTCTGGGGAAACACGACACACAGAAAACACAACAACCAGCTCAGTTTCATAAAGTCAGCATGCTAATGATGAGAGCTTCGTTAAATCAGTGCTTCTCAACTGGTTTTTTATAAAGTCAAGACAGAGTCAACACAATGCAGGGATTTACAAAAGTGAACATTGAAATCTATTAATCTTACAGTGCGTAGACCCTGAACAGGCCCAGTGCGATACAGAATTATCATCATGAGCTTCATAGGAAAGTGGTTTTGGTTTTATTCTCTCCGCAGTGAGTAGTTCACTGGACAAACACTGTGTTCAACTCAAACCATCTTCATCCTGACTGAGAGAGAAAATTTATGTATGTATTTAATGTTGTCTGGACTGTATTTTCTGACTTTTTTGTAGTTTCGTTCACACAACCTGTCCATGTAGATTTATCTGTTGAATTTGACTTTTAGACCTAGTAACATAAACTTGTGCCAAAGTAGTGTGGAGTTTGATGGACACATGGGGAGTTGTTTCCCTCCCTTTCTTGCTGTCATAATGATTATATATGGTTAGTTTTATTGTATTATTTGTCAAGTGTCCCATCACAAATGGATCTGATGCCCATGCTTGGGTCACAAACCACCGTTTAAGATCCACTGGATTAGACAAGGGGTCTCCAACCCTGCTCCTGGAGAGCGACTGTCCTGCAGACCCCAGTCTGACACACCTGAACCAGCTAATCAAGGTGTTCAGGGTTACTAGATAATTACAGGCAGGTGTGTTAGAAGTCTGCAGGACAGTAGCTCTCCAGGAGCAGGGTGGGAGATCCCTGGATTAGACAGGGATACAGTCAGTCCAAGAGTCTCAAATCACGCACACTTCAGACGCTCACGGTGATGGATTTCTTAGAGGGACTCTGCAGGCAATGACAGAATGCAGATCGATCCATCTTAGAGATGTAGAGCAAAGGCTCGATGGTGCAGCTCAGGTCCATGATGGAGAACACGCCGAGAAGAACCCTACAGTGCAGCGTCACGAAAGAGAAGGTGGAAGCAAACGGCAGCAGAGCCACAGGAGGCAGATAGTTCACCACGATGATGGCGAGGATGATAAGCACCATTTTGAAGGCCTTCTTCTTCACCGGGTTCATGACTTCTTTCCCTGCGACACTCTTCCTGAGGACCCAGATGATGGAGAGGTTGCAGAACACCATGATGAAGAAGGCCGAGAGGATGACGCCGCTGAAGACCTCGTTCACGCTCAGGATGCCTAAGATGCATTTGGTCAGAGAGTAGGCTAGGATGAGTCCCCACACCAGCACCGAGACACCGATCCGGATGCGAGAGTCACGGGTCCCGGTGAAGAGGATGGGATGGACCACAGCGATGTACCTGTCCAGACAAATACAGGTGAGTCACGTCTTTGAGCCCGTAGGCAAACGCTGAGAGTACCAGACGGACGCGTTGTTGAAGTACAGCCGGTTGACCATATCCACCGGCGTCATGAGGCCGAAATAGGATAGAGAGGTTGAAAATGAAGACATCAGATGTTGAGCCTTCTCTCTTCTTCCTCAGAATCTGCCACAACACCAGTGCGTTCAGGGGAATGCCTGCAACCAGGTTCAATACTTTGACTCCAAAGTACAGCCTCCGCACACACCTCAAACTGGTACCACGGTAGATGGTGCCACCCGCTACTCGTGGAGTTCAGGTTCAAAGCCGAGCTGTTTGCCATGATGATGAAATGAGCTGCGAACGAGAGCATGGCGTTGGTTATAATGATCCGTCTTTGATGAGTGACTGTTATATCTACGTGAACTTAAGACACATACCAAACAATGATTTGAAGAGTGTGTCTCTCAGAGCCTCATCAAGTTAAATGATTGCAGACAGATATCTCACCCACCGCTTTTTCAATACGGAGGCGTTCTGCTATAGTTCCGTGTGGTTGTCTGTCTCCGCCGACGTTTCTCTGACCATCACCCAACTTAGATGCGTCGTCAGTTTAGCGTCTCTCTCGGGGCGCTCCGAGAAAAGCTCTTCCCGCGGGAGACAGAGGTGGAACATTTTGGATGCAACCAATTATTAGGGTTCTTTTGGGTCAACAAGAAGATCTCGTCTGCGATTGGATGAAGAGGAGGGTCTGGCTGAAAAGTTTGCGATAAAGACTCTGCAGTTCGATGGAAGGGGACGATGGAAGTTTCGTGACGTAACTGCAGGCTGCGAGCAGAGCTTCACGTAAACAGGTGATGCAAGGAACAAATGAGTAAATCTACTGTAACATCTTGCAAATACACACATTTCTGGCTCTCTGCCACAGACAAGCTGTGGGGAACGATATAAGAGCCCTAGACCGTCATAACTACTCTATAGAGCGATATATATTAGGAAGAAGAGCGAAGGCTCAACATCCGATGTCTTCATTTTCAACCTCAGCAGGTGCTGTGTAAGAACTCTACAGTTTGCCTTTGTACATCTGAAGTTCATTTCATTCATTCAGGCTTTATTTCATTCAAATTGTCTGTTGTTTGAATCTGAGACGTTTTAATGCATGGGAGTTTAGTAAACCTTTCGTTGTTTCCCCTACTGATGACGAACGTACATAATGCAACATTTATGCATTTGACACTTTTCCTTTCATGTTAATTTTCTACACAAATGGCATCAGTGGAGTTTGAGATAGAATAAATCTTTGTCTCTTAAGCTGTACTCGTGAACTTGTTTATATATACTTGGTGTTCATCTCATGTAAAGCTGTGGATTATTTTTTCATATACTTATTTATAGAGCTGTATGTTTTGTCAAACCTGTGTGCTTTACAGTTTTCACTGAAGATATATGTCTCTCTTCTGTTATTTTGATATTTCAGAGTATTTACACACATGGCTGCTATAAGAATAAGTGAACACAGACAAGTAAGTATATCATTTTTGGAGTTCCTTTATGCATCAAAAATACAGCAACTGTTGATATTTCTTGTCTTTTTTTGCTCGGGTTATTAAACCATCTCTAGCAGTCCGAGATCAATGACAACACAAGCTCACAGTAAATGTTTTTCATGTTAATTAATCTCGTAGCATCATCTAGTTACACAAATACAAGCTCAGACCATCTGCGTCACCTCAGTCCGTTCTTAATTAATCCCCAGGCATCTTAATTAACATCTTAATTAGTGACTCGTTAATGTTCTTAATTATGCATCTGGAAAGCTGGTATCTAATCTGTGAGAAATAAAAGAATCAGACAAAAACACAGCAGTGAGGAGAAGAGAGTGAAGTTCGGCTTCGTTCGCTGTAGCCCGATCTTCCCAGAGTCTGACGATCAATCAGAAAAAGTCACGAGGATCTAACGTTACGAATGAGCAGCTGAGAAAGAGGCAAACAGGAGACGTCTGGGGAAACACGACACAGAAAACACAACAACCGGCACAGTTTCATGAAGTCAACATGCTGATGAGAGCGCTTCGTTAAATCAGTGCTTCTCTACTGGTTTTGATCAAATCAGAGTCTAAGATTTTACATCAGCGCAATGCAGGGATTTACAATTGCCAGCTCAGTTTCATAAAGTCAGCATGCTAATGATGAGCGCTTCGTTAAATCAGTGCTTCTCAACTGGTTTTGATAAAAATCTGCATTCCAAATAATAGCAAACCACGCGTCATGCAACACGGTGCTAAAATGTACATATTAACCATTGAAATATATTAATGTTGTAATAAGTAGCCCCTGAAAAGGCTCTGTAAGTGTCACACACCCTGCCCATGTTGATCCATAAGTATAATTTGATTTTTACCCTAGTTAAGATAAATCTTACTGTGGTTGGATGAATTTGTGCCAAAATACTGTAGAGTTTGATGGACATAGTATCAGTGGACATCAGTAGCAAAAGAATGGAAGGTGTTTTCTCTTATTTGGTTGATGAGTCTATCTGTAATAATGATTATATGTTTACTCTTTTGCATTTAACAGTATTTTTCCCTTTTTCAGTGACCAATCACAGCAGACCTGAGACGCACCAGTTGAGAACTACTGGATTAGACATACACTGAGTCAAGAATCACGCACATAACATCAGACACTCATTTCAGACGCTCACGGTGATGGATTTCTTAGAGGGACTCTGCAGGCATTGACAGAACACAGATCGATCCATCTTAGAGATATAGAGCAAAGGCTCGATGGTGCAGCTCAGGTCCATGATGGAGAACACGCCGAGAAGAACCCTACAGTGCAGCGTCACGAAAGAGAAGGTGGAAGCAAACGGCAGCAGAGCCACAGGAGGCAGATAGTTCACCACGATGATGGCGAGGATGATAAGCACCATTTTGAAGGCCTTCTTCTTCACCGGGTTCATGACTTCTTTCCCTGCGACACTCTTCCTGAGGACCCAGATGATGGAGAGGTTGCAGAACACCATGATGAAGAAGGCCGAGAGGATGACGCCGCTGAAGACCTCGTTCACGCTCAGGATGCCTAAGATGCATTTGGTCAGAGAGTAGGCTAGGATGAGTCCCCAGACCAGCACCGAGACGCCGATCCGGATGCGAGTGTCACGGGTCCCGGTGAAGAGGATGGGATGGACCACAGCGATGTACCTGTCCAGACAAATACAGGTGAGAAACAACGGAGTCACGTCTTTGAGCCCGTAGGCGAAACGCTGGGAGTACCAGACGGACGCGTTGTTGAAGTACAGCCGGTTGACCATATCCACCGGCGTCATGAGGCCGAAATAGGCATCCAGGATAGAGAGGTTGAAAATGAAGACATCGGATGTTGAGCCTTCGCTCTTCTTCCTCAGAATCTGCCACAACACCAGTGCGTTCAGGGGAACGCCTGCAACCAGGTTCAATACTTTGACTCCAAAGTAGAAGATGAACCAATGAGGAGCTTCCACACACACTTCATACTGGTACCACAGCGGACGACGCCACCCAGAGACGCTGGAGTTCAGGCTCAGAGCCGAGGTGTTTGCCATGATGATGAAACGAGCTGCGAACGAGAACAACTGTTATCAACATGAACTCAAGATCTACTCGAAATACTTCTGCACCAGAATGAAGTGACGACCAAGCTATTCCAACAATGATTTCAAGAGTTTGTCTCTGAGAACATCATAAAATCAGGTTAAAGGGGTCATGAGGATTAGGGCTGTCAAAAAAAAAATCGAATTTCGAATATTCGTCGAATTTAAAATAAAAATCCACATTCGAATGCAAAAATGTTGCACTTGAATTTTAGGAGTGCGTTAAGGAGGCAGCTTTATCAGCGGCGCACGAGATGCGATGACGATGTGAGTCGTTATATTATAATGTGTTTGTTAGTCTATCCAGTTGAAGCCACTAGATGCGGCGCTGCTGCGTTAATTACAAATATTGTCACATCAATGCGGAGAAGATCTTGTTTACATCAAAACTGAAACCAAGCCGTTCGCACAGAACGCATATTTCACACATTTTCTAGAGGGACATCTATCACCGCTGCACTCGCGTCTCGCACAAAACAGCCGCATGTTTAGAAAGCCATGTAACATGAATGCAAGTTTAACTTTGAAAAAAACATATATCGAGACTTTATAGCTGTTTTTCCCATCCCACAGCATCTCATGGTTTTAAATGAAAAATGTACTCCGTGTGATTGGCTTTCTGCCCTTTGTATTAAACTATGCTTACATACATGATGCTGTTTTGTTTATAGTTAAGCAACTTAATTATAATTGGCTAATAAACATTATTTTAAACATTATGCACTTTTTTTCACAGATAGTCATGTTATCTTATGCTTTGAATAAACGTGCATTTAGATGTGCCCTCTTGTGGCCTCAGAAGCCAAACGCTTTTCTTCATCCTACCTGAATTTATGCATTTTAAATTCGAATTTTGATAAAATTTAAGTACAAAATTCGAATTTAGTTTTTCAGCCATTTTGACAGCCCTAATGAGGATTGCAGCTGTCTTTGATCTTTTCACATATAAGAGGTCATTGTCCTATAAAGACACACTGTAAGTTACAGACCTCAGTGCAAAAGAGCATTTGCTGAGACCCAGCTGCATCCCAATTCCTATACTACACCCTAAAAGTATGTACTGTTTTTGTGAAGGAAAACATATATGCTTATGAGTGTGTAGCAGAAGAGTGAGCAGGTTTGGGGACAAACTACCACGTCATAAAAATGCGTCTTTAACCGCTTAGTTGCACAGTTACATGCGCCCCGTCACTATACATCAAATTAAAAGAACTGAGTTTTATTGTACTCAAAAATTCTTACTATTGTACTGGGGAGAAAAGAGAAAAGCAGCACATTGATCTCGCAGTCACGAGTCTGTCATACAGAAAACCTGCTTGGGATTTTGCATAATGATGGCCAAATGTATCTGTACGTCTCTTTATAACAGTTCACAATGTTGTTGCGGATGAACTATAACATGGATAAAATTTAATATTTATCACACCACTATTTAGCTGTCTGTCGTTCTCTTTATTTGTGTTTGTAGTCAGCACATGATGACATGTAGGCCTATACATGAGACTTTTTAAGTGACTTAACCAGCAGGCATTAACTACTTTCCTCAACATCTAAAAACAAAAATGTAGCTAAGGCAGCGGTTTTCAAACCTGTCCTGGAGGCTTTGCCTCCCTCATCAGCCGATTCAGCTCTTTCAGCTCTTGCAGTCTCCACTAATGGGCTGTTAGACGAGGGAGACATACAAAATGAGCAGGCCTGGGGACTCCAGAAAACCACTGCTTTAGACCAGAGCTCCTCAACTCTGGACCTCGAGATCCACCTTCCTGCAGAGTTCTGCTCCAACCCTAATCAAGCACACCTGAACAAGCTAATCACGGTCTTCAGGATCACTAGAAGGTTGCAGGTAGGTGTGTTTAATCCAGGTTGGAGCTAAACTCTGCAGGAAAGCGGATCTCGGGGCCTGCTTTAGACCAGTGGTTCTCAATTCCAGTCCTCGTGTACCACCGCTCTGCGTATTTAGCATGTCTCTCTTATTTAAAGCTGCAGTCTGTAACTTTTTTTGTGTTCAAAATTACAAAATTTATATAATAAGCGAGTACACCATGAATCCATTTTCCAAATCGTGTTTTTGGCTTGTCCTGAATCACTACGGTACACCTATAATAAGTGTTTATATTCGGACTATTTTAGACTGGTTCGGGTAGGTACCGCTGCGGAGTAGCCCAGTACCTGCGTGATGCGCCATAGACATAAACAGAGAGAAGTAGCTCCGGCTACAATGTTCTTCCGCAAGACGCACGCAGTTCTGTTTATTAACCGCTAGAGCGCCAAAAGTTACGGACTGCAGCTTTAACACACCTGATTCAGACCACCACTAGCCTATATTGCGTCAGCTTTCATTTCCAAAGGATCACATATAAGAACAGCAGGGAGCCTACATTTACTAGAAACATAATCACCATATTACAGCTTGATTTGCATGCTCGTCTCATGTGTGGTGTAACATTTGGATAGTTTGTGAAGTGTTTCATGGACCAGAGCAGCACATCCACACCACTGATCTGCTGTAATGCAATACTCCCATCTTGTGGGCTGTTAATGCCATGAGTTTAACCAGCACTGACGCCTGAAACCATTCAGTGTGAGGGGGCACGTGCCTCGCAAATTTTTGAGCCAAGTGGATTTTGAATGCAGCTTCCAAAAGACAAAAAAATAGCCGATTAATATTTTCTATATTTAATACAATTACAGCGGCGTGATTAGAACGTTCAGCGCGTCATATCATCAGCTGCTACATTCAAATCCGCGTTCGTTCGCTGGCTGGCGCTGAAACAGACGCGTTTCTACAGCACTGCGGATTAACCAATCACACACGATTCTGTTGAGTTTATGAATGCAATGGCCAATCAGAGGCGTTCAGATCAGTCATCGCCAGTGTTGCCAACCTGGCAATTTTTTCACACTACCCTAGCAACTTTTTCTTCCAAAAGCACTTAGCAACAAATGTAGCTATTTTAACATTTTATTTGGCAACTTTTAGCAACTTTTGATTAGTGACTCAAACGATAAAAAGGCACACATTTTCCATCTAAATCACACAAAATGAGGAAACCAAAGATGCCTAACAGTACACACATCATGAATTAAATTAGCTGCTATTTGCAATTGTTTAATTTAATACTAATAATTGAATATTTGAACAATTGCTCATTTATGATACACCTTGTTAGTAGCTTCCTGTGACTGTTGATCAGTTAGTTCACTGTAAGAAAAATATCTAGAAAAATGGAAAAGGTACTAGTTATTTTCCAGGACATTATCTGATATCTATTGTAACCCTGTAACCCGAAAACACAAAATGCAATGCGTAATTTAAAATGCAGGTAAAAAAAAAAACTGTGAAAAATCAATACGGAAAATTCCTTCATAGTAGATTGTGCCCTATTTTAATACTAACTAACTGCTGATACACTGCTTAAAGCTATAATTGTTCAGAATGTGTAGTTTTACTAGTTTACTAGCGAATAAAAAAACGTACATTGTAATTGTTCAAAAATGTGCAAGTGTTCAATAATTCAATGTTGTATTTAAAAATACAGTTATATTTTAATATTATATTAGCCTACGTTATATTATTTTATGAACAAATCTAAATTACATTAAATATTTGTTTCCTGAGAATTGATGTATTTTGCGTCATAATTACGTAACAATGTCATTTAGTAACTTTTTGGAACAAATCAACCTTCCTTTAGCAACTTCCCCTGAAACATAGTTAGCAACACTGGTCAACAAAGTGCACATGTGTGTATGAATCTGTCAGATATTAATTTCACAGTGTAAACAGCTTCAGGGATTTTAATGGGAGTTTTTGAGAGAGCTTGAACTCTGGCTAGACTGAATGAAAATGTTCTTTGATCATGTAAATGCTCTCGTTCTGTACAATGAAAGTGTTATGATTAGTAGCCTAACTTGCCATGTTTTTATTCACATTAACTTCATACTGTAGCATCAGAACGAGCTGAGTAGAGATATAGTGCATGCAGTTTTGTCTGGTCAAAACATATTTATCTCGAATCAGATATCTTACTCTGCAGACAGCGGCCCTCCATGAGGCCCCTGACACACGGTTATTACACACAGGCGACAGCGGGACTGTGGATATTTCCCCTGTGCAGTGATGTGAGCGATCATAACAGCGGCTGTTTGCTGACAAACCTTTAATGAGACGCAGCTCTAAAACTCACAGGCTCAGGACGAGGGTTGAAAATCATAGTTTTTGCAAATATATGACTGTTTTATGTGCAAAAACTCAATGAACATATTAAAATAATAAAGGCATGTCATGACCCCAGTAAGACCAATTACCAGTATCTCTCAGATAACTCACCCACTGCTCGCTCAATACAGAGGCGTCCTGCTTCCATCCTCACAATATCTCTGCCAGAGTCTGTCTGACCGTCACCCGACTTACACCAGGCTTTAGTTTAGTGTCTCTCCCGCGGGACACAGAGGTGGGACGCTCGGACACAACCAATTGTGGCGGCTCTTTTGGGTCAACAAATAGAACTTGTCTTTTATTGGCTGAAGAAAAGAAAAAGTTCCACAATCAAAGTTTCGTGATGTAACCGCAGGCTGCGAGCAGAGCTTCACGTAAACAGGTGATGCAAGGAACAAATGAGTAAATCTACCGTAACATCTTGCAAATACACACATTTCTGGCTCTCTGCCACAGACAAGCTGTGGGGAACGATATAAGAGCCCTAGACCGTCATAACTACTCTATAGAGCGATATATATGTCAGTCTGTGTACCAAAACACTCTTTCATTACAGTGGACTCTCCAAAACTCAAAAGACAATTAGACATTTACAATAGAAAACTGGAATTGCCACATTAAAAAGAAAATAATGCATGACTTATTGCTTTTATACAACATACTGCTACAACCAATTGTTAACCAGAAGATATAACTGTATAACTTATATACATTATACTCTATTCATGAGTTGTTCAAGAGATCCAGCTCCAGAACTCCAGTTATGTGGCCTCAGTGAGATTCGACATGCATCACAACAAAGGCTACTCTAGAAATTGGGGGATCGGGGCTAGTTGTCACACTTTTTGCTGCAGTGAATATTTCTCACAGTGTTTATTTATAGAAAGTCCGTTTCTGGAGTGTTTAGAGTAAGTCCAGTTTCATTTCATCTTAAGAGATCTGAAGTGGGGTCAGTTTTAAGTGAGTGCGAGTCCATCACACATGGCTGCCTGTAACTGAGATGCACACAAGAAACGGATACAGATTTTCAAATAGATGCCCATGTTTTATTTGAAATGTAAATCAATCTCATTTTGCCCGCTCACTCCTGCATTATGCTGTATTATGTTGGTGTCGTGGCATCATGTGGCCGCCAGATGTCGCGCAAACGCCCCAAACGCGCCTCGGCGAATCCAGCAGGAACAAACTGTACCGCATATGAATCACATAATCAATAATTATGCGTGAGCTCTGGTCGTCTCGTCATGTCGACACGTCTGTATGAGCGGATCACACTCGGCCTTTCAGCTTCTAAAGTCGCGTCTGTTTTTCTCCAAACTCATTATTGGCTCGTCACATGTTGGCGTTTCCCGGTCGCAGCGTTGCGGGTTTATGTAAAGAAAACGCTGAGAGTATAAAAATACACATCTAGCCAGACGCTAAGAGTCTATCTTGCGTTCGGTTCCTGTCCCCGAGTTACACGCTAAAAGCGCTTCGTGCTCAACCGGGGAAAACGGGAAACTGCAGCAAGAATAAAGCAGCGAGAGCGCGAGGAAACCGGAGAGAGAGAGAGAGAGAGAGAGAGAGAGACAGAGAGAGAGAATACACTCCCTTAT